CTCCAAAGTCATGCAGTGGCAGCTGGAATACTGCAGAGCCCAAGGCTGGACCTGAGTGAGTCTCACCTCTGCTTTTCTCATAGAGTAGTCAGAACTGAATGCCATGTAAAGATTTGTCTCACCATTCAGGCAGCTGTTTATTGGGACAGATTTTGCTGCATAAAGTTATCTCCTCTTTGGAGGATACCAGGGAAGGAGAAAGACTAAACAGAATCATTTGACTTTACTGCTGATCAGCTCCAACACATCCAATTGGTGTCACTTTTCCAGGCCTTTGTTATCAGAGATTTCACCAAGAGTAAAATTTTGGGCATTTCCTAAGGGTATCGAGCACTTCTAACCCTTATAACAATTCATATTGCATCAGAGAGAGATTCATAATATCAACCAACATTCTGGGATGAGAAATGCAGTGGGTTATAGACTTGTTTTGCTGTGCTACCTCTGGGATAAACAAAACCAGAATAGAAAGCAATAAGTAATGAAATGTTCCTGTTCTTGCAGCACCAGCAAATCCTCAGGGCTTGGAAGGAGAAGTGACAGCAGTGGATCCTGCAGCTCTTTCTCCAAGGGAGTTTGTGGTATTTCAGTATGGCATCTCCATCCTGCAGTTCCTCAGGGGTCACATGGATGTAAGTGGTTAAACACTGATGTTTAGCACAGAGACTCTCCAGCCCAGAGGCTCAAAGGAAAGCAGAAGAGTTTGGAAGTCAAACTCCTATTCCACAAGATCCACAATGAGTTCTTAGAGTTGTGGTGGCATCTTCCTCGGTCACATCTTTAGTTTTTCATTACTTCATCAGAGAATTTTAGGGGTTGGGATGGAGCTGAGAGGTGATCCAGCCCCAACCCCTGCCCTGGGCAGGGACACCTCCCACCAGAGCAGGTTGCCCAAGGCTCATCCAACCTGGCTGTGAACACTGCCAAGGTTGGGGCAGCCACAGCCTCCCTGGGCAACCTGGGACAGTGTCTTCCCAAAATCACTGCACTATATTGTGACAGAACACATTCCTTTCTAAGTTGCCTCATTTTCTGAGCACACCATGGCTCAGTCTAGCTAAACCCTCCAGGGCCTTTCCCAACAGGAACAAATAAACACCAACAGAACCATAGTGCCCAGATCTCCAGGGCTGCAGTTCACTTTCATTTCCTTAATTACAAAGCTTGGCAGGAGGAATTCTGAGGGTTTTTTTCAAACAGTTTCCATTTCCAGGGGGGATTTTTTGGCTCCATGTACCCACTGCAAATCAAAGCTGATCTTCAGTGAGCTGAGATGCCCCAGATCCCTCTCCCTCTGCAGACATGGTGCACACACAGCATTTCCCCTCTCTCTGCAGGCTCCAGAAATCACCCTGTGTGTTGCCTCCAGCATTCCCCAGAGCAGAGCCACAGGCAATGCCTTCAGCAACTCTTTCTTTTATCAGGTTTGTTCACTGCACATTTAGCCAATTTATACAATATTTTTATACCCACTGAATTCTGGGATTAGGAAGTGAAATGCCAAATTATTTCGTGCTTTCTCAGTGAAGCTTTCTAGGAAAAATACTGATATCAGAGATCCTCAGATGTTAATAAGATCCAGATGTATCTGAACAAGTGAACAGAGCAATGTAGGACACAGAGTTTAAATCCATGTTGAATGTTGAGGGTCAGATCCAAAGCACATTCACTCAGCTCTGATTATGCTGTTCCTCCTTTCCAAGTTTTGCCACTTTCATTGCTCCCAAATTCTCTCTGGCTCAGCTGTATAGAAATCAGAGCCTCAGCATTTTCCTTGCTGTAATTAAATTACAGATTATTTAGTGTGACTTATTTCTAAAACTGAGATGTGTAGAGAAAAAGTTTCCTGAAGTTCTTGATCTCTAACCATAAATCTGCCTAGAAATAGAGAATGTTTCAGAATCACATCAGAGTAAGGTGAAACCTCATGGCAAGTGCTGCTGCTTTGTGCCCATGGATGTTCCTCAGGGCTCTCATTTGAAGCTCTCAAGTTCCCTAAAGAGAAATAGTTGGGCGAGTCTCAGTTGTGGATGTTTTCCCTCAGAATTCCAAGAGCAAACTCTTCATCCTAAGGGATTGCCTGAGCTCTGTGGGGAGTTTCCTGCTGCTCCTCGTGCACTGCTTGGCTCACATTGCTGCTGCTGAGCTCACCCAGGACACCAACCCTCTCTTCCTGAGGCTTTTTTATCAGGTACATCAGTGTGTTCCAAACATAATTGTGCAGGGATAATGCTCATAAAAATTTACCCTTTTCAAAGTGTGTTGAGGGTTAATATCTTTGCAGAAGTTCAGTGATAAACAGGAGGAAGAATGAAGCTTTTTTAGTCAGTTAACTCTTATCTGACCTAGCATTAGAGTTACAGAAAGACCTTTTTTCAGTGCTCAAAGATCTCTGCCTTGGATGAAGGCAATGAGACAGCAGAGAAACCACCACAGAATGTATCAATATCCCACCTAGGGCCAAACAACAGTGACTCAAAGTTCCTGTTTGTTCCCCCAACAGCTGAGGAGACAAACCCAACACCTCCATTCTAACCCTCAGCACAGGGAAGAATCCAACAGGAAAAGCTTTTCCATGAGCACAGTCCTGACCAAGAACACAGTTACACCAGGCAAACCCACTGGAAAGGGGAAAAGAACTGCAATGTTCTTCCCATCACATGTCAGTGTGATGCAACAGGTTTCAAAGCTTTTCACAAAGTCATGTTAGGGTTTTTTTTTTTCCTCCTCTAGGCACTGAAGGCTTGTCTGAGTGAAACCTTCTCCCTCAGGCTTCAGCTCTCAGCAGCTCTGCAGAGTGACAGAGCTCAGGGGCTAAGTCAGATGCTGCTAAAGGAGGAACCTTTCTCCAAGGAGGAAGTCAACCTTATCTCCCAACTCTTTGAGGTGAAAGTGAAGAGCCTCACAGAGATGGAAACCTTTGAGAAGGTAACATGAGACCCAAATGGAAGTCTAGCATCCCAATTTTCTTTACTTTGGCACAAATGGCACTGAGAACTGGTGTACAGATGCCCATCCACGTGCTGCAATGAAATAAACACAGGATGTTCACTCTGAACTTTGCTGTGAGGGAGCTCTGGAACAAACTTTCCAGAGAGGTTGTGGGTCCTCCCTCCTTGGAGACACTCAAAAACCCCTCTGGGCACAGCCTTGACCACTGGTTAAACAGTCATCTAGGGCCCAGAGGGTTAGAATAAATGATTTATCAACAGCAATACCATGAAAAACATATTTAAAGAGTCTATAAAAAGGCTTTTTAATTGATTTGCTTTTCCCACTTCTGTGCCTCCTGCATAACACATGAAGAACTTCTTGCTCCATATGAAATCTGAAGAATCACTAAAGGACAAGTTGCTTGTGAAGAAGAGAGAACATCTCCTTCCTGCCTTGAGCAGCAGTGGAAAGGGCAGTTTGGGATGGAGGACACAGTAAGAAGAATTTCCAGGAGCTTCTATTCCCCATTCCTATTTCCCTGTCATGTGTAATTTCTGGTTTGCTCTTGTCAAGAGTCTGTGGCAATGCCAATGTTAATATTTGATCTTCTGTCTAGTGTTAACTATTCCTTTCCCTTTGCTTTCTCAGCTCTGAAGAGGAAACCTGCACATCATTGGCCCCTTCAGAACTCGAGGAGAAAGTGGATGTGTTAACTGAAGAGCTGGTGCAGATCATAGAGGATGAGCACCAGTTTCTGAGCAGTAAAGGCAATGAAGATTTGCTTTCTTACTACCTTGAAATAACCAGTTTGGAGAAGGATTGTTTGGTCAAACAGATCAATGCATTAGAGGAGGAGATAGGCCTGGGCAGAAAGGGGTAGTGATATCAGCCTTGGTGCTTGGGTTGTGCCTTGGTTCTCTGCTTTTGTCCTCAGGCTTTAAGCCAAAGTAAATCTTCTATTTTTGCTTTAACTATAGTATATTTTTCCTTCTAATACCAAAGAGTCATTAAATCATGAGTGAAAGCAGTGGAGTAATTTAAGTGACAAGACTTTGGCCTAAGGACCTGACATTTCTGGCTATATCCAAGTGGTGAAAAGAAATATTGCTGTAAAAGCTCAGAGTCAGAGTTTCCAGGAACAGGAGCAAAATATAGAATGACTCTAGTCTGCTTAGTGTTAAATAAATCAGTTTTGAACTAATGTCTCACCCCACTGTGTCCTGAAACCTCTGCAGACTTTAGCTGAGTTACACTTTCCTGCCTTTATGACACAGCAAAAGCTACAGACACAATTAACACAAGTAACTGTAGAGACAATTACACAACAAAAGCAAGAAATATTGTTCACCACTGAAAGCAGCTTGCCCAGCCCAGCCAACCTCCACTGTCTCTGAGGTCACCATATCTCAGCTCTGCTCTTCAGCTTGGGGAGAGTCTTTCCTCCTCCCAAACTCAAGAGCTAAACCCTGAAACACATGAAACATCATTTGCTGACCAGTGAAGCATCACCACAGCCTCTGGTGGAAAAAAGTGGGGGAAGAACAGTCACTCAACCTTCCTTTCCCAGCAGTACTCATGGAGCCACAGGGACAACTCCAGTGGCTTCATGAGCTGATGAATACCCTCAATATTTCTGCCTGTGCTATTTAGTTCTCTGCTCACAGTGCAGCTGCCCTTGCCAGGAGGAACCAGATTGTCACTCAAAGCAACTTGGGGGATGTTTCTTATCTCCCTTGACTTGTGTTTCCCCCAAAAGCTTTTGCAGTCCCTCAAGGGCACTGAGTGCAGATCAGTAGCTTCCATAAAAAAACATAAGCAGATTTATTGATATATGCATTTCCTTTTTAACTCTCAGAGAGTCTCACACATCAATTTTCAAATCTTATGTTAACATAAATAAAACATTTAAAACCTTCAATAAAACCCCCCAAAAATGTTTCAGGTATACAAAGTTGGAGACAGAGATTGGACAGTGATGCTTTCTATTTTGAGCAGGTTTGCAATGCCAACCTTTCACCCTGTGCCATGGCAGTGCTGCACCAGCCTGGCCAGGCCCAGCCACGGATCTACCTCTTGGTGTTGATCCAGTGGTACCTGTCCACACGTGGCCCAGCAAAGGCAGCTGAGGGTCTGTAGACCTTGTAACCCTTGTGCTGGGCATAGTATGAGCCATCAGCCAGAAACGTCTTCCTATGCAGGTACTGGGACCAGGGCTGGATGGGACCCTTGTAGTAGTCACTGAACTGAACAGCAAAAGAAGAAGATAGTGTTGGAATGGGTTGGGGAAAGAGAGGAAAATGGTCTGGTCATCTATACCAGTCTATTGCATTCCTTCAGGAGGGAGCAGATGTTAACCCCTATCAAAGCTCCAACCCAGTCACAGAAGCAGTTAGGTTGGAAAAAAATCTTTAAGATCAGGTTTTACCATTCCTCCAGCACTGTCAAGGCCACCACTAAACCACATCCTCAAGTGCCATATCTACACATCTTCTAAATCCCTCTAGGGATGATGATTCCACCACTGCCCTGGGCAGATGTGCCAGGGCTTGACAACACTTTTGTTAGAGAATTTTCCCACAATATCCAAACTTAACCTCCCCTAGAGCAACTGGAGACTGTTTCCTTTCATCCTGCTACTAGTTGCCTGAGAGAATCAGCCAACCCCCACTTGCTACAACCTCCTTTCATGTAGCTGTAGAGTGAGGAGGTCCCTGAGCCTCCTCTTCCCCAGGCTGAGCCCCCAGAGCAGTCACATACCACCAGCTCTCACCCACCTGGTACACACTGTTGGGGTTGCTGACAGTAGGGATAGCTTTAGGCTCCTTGCTGAAGCTCTCCTCATCTGAGGAAAGGCCAGACTGATAGTCCAGTGCTGCTCTCTCCACTGCATAGCTGATCTGCTGGGGGAGCTCAGGGTTCTCCTCTCCTTTGACGTGAGCAACGACGAAGGGTCTGTTCTTCTCACCACACCTGAAAGCAGCTCCAGGTGTGTAAAGCTGCTCTGCACTAGCAGTCAGACTGCTAACTACTGGTAGCAGTCAGCTGACAGCAGTGAGTGCACCTTCAGACACTGAGGCTGTACTAACAGCATTGGAGTTGATCAATTTTACAGAGCACTTGGCTCAGACAGGGCTCAACTCACCTGCAGCACACCTCAAAGGGATCCACCCACAGGGTCATCTCCTTGGGCAGACCAAGCTTGTTGAAGTCCACATTACTCTCCACACAAGCTTGTTCCAGCAGTGGATCTCTGGTCTGGTATTTGTTGATCCTTATACATCTAGGAGAGAGCAAAATTTCAGACCAGACTGTGGCTTTGCAGGTCCTGCTCACCCAGGAGTGCACTGAAGTTCATCACTTGTTTTCTCCACTCATTTAGCCTGGTGCCAGTTCTCACTCAGAGCCCCAACCAGCAATTAGCCTAATAAACTGATTAGTAAACCCAAGCAAGGCTTTGTTTTAAATACAGAATGCAGAAACTCACTTTACCAGGAACATAAGAGACTTCAAAGCAGTTACAAGAGTTTCACAAGTCACTTTAGGACCACTTGAATTTTGCATCCAAGGAGTCAGAGGTTTCTTTGGGCACCTTGCCTTAAGATTTCCTATCCAGGTCTCTACTCACACCTTCACAGACACACACTGTGGAAAACTAGTGTATCTTTACCAGTTATACCATTTCTTCCCCCAAGTTAAGGGATAGGTAAACAGTTCGTTCCAGTTTTGGGTCATTTACACCCAATTTAAAGCCTCCAGGCACTGAAGGGCCATTCTTTGCCACTTGAATGTTATGTAAATTCTCTATCTCCCCTTCTCTCCTACCAAAATCCTCTTACCTGAAGGCTTGTCCCCTGGATGGGTTGTCCAGGTACCAGTGATTCTTATACTTCTCAAACAGTAGTGCTGTCAGCTTAGCTGCAAACTTCTCCACTTTGTGCTTGCTCAGCTTGCCTTCCCTTTTCACTAGCCTTGTGATGAAGAAGACCGTGGCAGCAATTTCATCTTTCATCTTAAACTGCAGCACACAAGGTGCTTTAGCTGTTGGATAGTCATCAGTAGAGATGAGACACTACACTAGAGAGATTTAATAACATTAAGATACTAGCAGGTTCCAAGAACAGATGCTGCAAGACCTGCATAAGCCATGAGAGACAGAGCCTGGATAGGCCTGAGTGCCAAACAGCTGATTAATGCAGTTTGGGGCATTGAAACCCATTTAATGCATTACTAAAAGACACTCACACTAAGCAAGTTAATAGAGCACATAAAAAATGAGTTCAAAATATAATAACCCTTATTATATATCACTTACAGCCAACAACCAACAGTTCCTATAAGCTACATAGCTCTTTTATAAACAGCAAGACCTAAAACATTACCTTGTCAGAGAGGAGAGGTGGTGGAAACTTCAGATACACTTTACAAACAGCTTCAAAGAGGCACCAAGACAACAGCCAAAAGGCTACAAGGACCCGAACCACTCACAAAGGGGGGAAAACCCACCACACAAACCTTCTCCTACTCTGCCAGAGTTTGGTTAGGCTTTATATAGCACAGGAAATCACATGGCCCTGAGGAAAGCAACAGTTTTCAGGTGTGAGGAGATTCAGGAGGGGATCAGGAGATTGACTGACATGATGCTATCAAAGCTGCTTCCAATCTGCTTGGCTTTACTCCAGTGTCAGCTCCTTCTTGTAGGTGTATTTGAGATTCAGAGCTGTATTCTGAGTGTCCATCAGGGTCATAACTACCTGTGACATGGCTCTGTGAAAGATTTCCTACACAGACATGAGAGTTGTGCTCCTTGCCTAAAACTCCAAGCAGTAACTCTCTGGGCACAGGCAGAGAGCAGCTGATGAATTCCTTTCCCCTTCTGCTGCCTCAGGAAGTTGTGTCTCCAGTGGCAAATATCAGGGGCTGTCAAGACAGAAGAGCAAATGGAGGTAAAAAGAGCTGAGTGTTTAAACTGGCTCTTCAACTGGCTGTGGGTGTTGTAGCCAAGCAGCTCCAGTGCTCCCATCTCAGCCCTGGGAGCAGGCTGTGATCCAAGGAAGGGGGTTAGAAATGCAGAGCATCCAGGCACAAATGGACAGCAGTAATCAGCTTTGCAGGAGTGACCCTAACCCATGAATTTCTGGCTCTTTCTGGGTTTCATTTCTCTCTACTCACACAGTTAGTTCCTTGCTCTTCAGTTTCTTTCTGCACCATAAAAACAAAACCTTACCAAGGCTCTGAGTACAAACTGGTGCTAAGGAATGAGTAATAAACACAAACCAACTCCATATGTCTTCCCTTCCTTTTTCTCCCACATCCAAATACTTCCTTAACAAACAGGGCCCTTTCCAACCACTCCAATGAAAGAGAAATCAAAGCCTGGCATAGATAATGAATCCTCAGAGAAGCTTCCAGCAGTGCCAGGAGCTGAGCTCTGCCACAGAACTCCCAGTGTTGGGGCCACGAGAGTCTCCTCATCATGTGCTCTGCTCTTGGTGCTTGGGATGACACACAAGGATTTTGTTCCCTGCACAAGCTCTGAGTCATTCCTTCCCTCTCCCATGTAGAACAAGAGGGCAACAGGAGCCTGTTCCATGCTTTTCTGTAGGACAACAGGAAACCACTGCTGGGCATTGCTGCAAAGAATTTCCACACGACATTTTTGAGCCTCTTTCTATGAAGCCTGTGATGATTTTCCCTCACTGTTGGCTGCCTCCAGCACAGCAGAATTAGCTCTGGGCATCACAGGAGCATTTTTTAACAGCCAAACTGGCTTTTCCTGCCTCAGGCCTGAGTTTTGTTTCAGAGACTAATCTTCCTTTGGAAATTGATGGGAATTGATGGGTCACTCTCTGAGCTGAAGAGATTCCCTTGCAAGCACTGCAGGCCATGTATACTCCTTGGTTTTAAACACTTGTTGCATGGTGACGTGGCAAAAGGACAAAACACAGAAAGTTCTCAAGTGACTTGAAGCTTATGGTCATACAATTTGATCAGTGAGGCTGAACTGCATGGGACTAAGTGTTAGGCAACTACCTCAGATCTGGGAGTTTTCACTCCACTGACTAAACTGGTGTCCAGGAAAATATCAAAGACCAAGATTTGCCACTTAAAAATGAAGGATAATGCACAGAATTAGAGATTTGAAGTTCTCCTCAGTAAGTTTAGCCCACTCAAAGTCTCGTGCACAATCCCAGACACACAGACTGTGGCTCCTCTAGGGATGATGCTGTTTCTCTTGTCGAAGCTGAGGGAGTTGCTATTGAGTCTGATTTCTTTGCCTTCGTGTCATTTTTTCCTCAATATCAGACTACAGTCTAACAAAATATGTAATTTCTTCCTATAAACCTTGTTTTCCTTTTATTCTTCAACTATGCAGA